AGACGGGTTTGTTAAACTGTCAAACACCAAGCAGTCACCGGTGACCGCAACCTATTGTTCTATAATTGTGTCTATAACGACGGTACTCGACGAGTTAAAATCTGCACGCTCGCTTGGCAGACAGAGGGCATAGTACAAATTTGAAAGTATGATTTTACAATAACTATCGTGAGACTTATTAACTCGTTGAGTACCTTCATTATAGACACAATTAAAGAACAATAGGTTGCGGTGACCGGTGTCCTCGCGGTGTTTGACTGTTTAACTCGTAGAGTACCGTCATTATAGACACAATTATAGAACAATAGGTTGCGGTGACCGGTGTCCTCGCGGTGTCTGACATTTTAAATTAACTAAAAATCGCGGGTTACCCACATGAATATACTGAGAATAGCTGTACTAGTTTTGAACCACAGAGGGGCTCAAAGTAGAATCTAAAATGTTACATTACACGCGAATGCTACTGGTGAGGGAGCACCATTAGGAACTACTGGCCTGATCTGAATAATTATTCTGTGTTGGCTAGTCTATTTATCGAGGAAGGTTATGGCTGGCAAATTTCAGTTCGAATACAGTTTGTTTGAATGCAGTCGTGTCACGACTGTCAAACGTGCAATCAATGTAGTTTTATTGCAGTCATGACCAAACGGTTGCAAACCAAACGAGCGGTCCGATTGCAGTTCTATTGCAGTCGCGTCAACTGCAACCGAACTGCAATTTTCATTTGGATTGCTGTTGACATGCGGACCGTCTGTCTAGAGCCTATAAAGTACGATAAATAGGAGCCGTATGGCGAGTGAATGAATGTTAGTTAGTTGTCTATTATAAGGAACTCATGCGTTTTAACATGCTGCTTAAAAGATTTCAGAGTGCCATATTTCTTTTGGCACACACTGCATTCGAAGGCTTTGCCACCTTGTGTTTTGTGTATTGGCAAATGTTCTTTAAGTTCCTGTTTATTCGAAAACGTTTTCCCACATTCATTGCAATCGTAACTCTTTTGGTTTTGATGTTTTTTCCTCATATGGTTGGAATAATACTGCTTCCACGTGAACGATTCGCCGCATAACTCGCAAGTGATTATCTTAATTTTTTCTCTATGTTTTTCCAAGCAGTGTAGGTGTCTTAGGTATTCGCCCGCGAATCTTTCCTCACAGTGTAGACATTTGAATTTTAACGCTTGTTCATGAACTAATTCTTCGTGTTTCCGTCTGTATTTTTCTAGCGCGAAAACCTTGTCACATATTTTGCAAGGGAATTTACCTACATTATGAATTTTAACGTGTTGTTTTAGTCGATTTTCCGCTAAAAACGTGTCGCCACAATCGTCGCAGACGTAGTTATTGTAATGGGCGTTCATATGAGCGTCTAAATGCAAGTAATTTGTGAAATGTTCTTTACAAAGCGCGCAGTTGAGTTCCTGCCTTAAAATGTACGGTATGACTCTAGTGTAGGCTTGGTCTAATAAAACTCTATGCTTGACCCTTAAATGTTTAAACATGTCATTCCAATTGTTTATGACCACGCAGCAGACTGTACAAAGGAGGTTGTCTATGTCTAATTTAATTACCTCGTTCATCCAATAAGGTCGCATGGTGTATTCAATTTTATCTATTCTCTGGCTAACGTGTTCTGTTCTCGTGTGTGTGCGTAAGTCGTCCGGGTCTTCGAAATGAGGTCCGTCAGTTGAGCAGTATGCGCAGTAGTAGCGAATGTTCTTGGATTTGTAAGGGGTCGCGTTTGTGAATGTAAGGATCGCTTTGATTTCTTTTATTAGTTGATAGGTCTGTTCCTTCTTCGGGTCTCGATGTTCTGTAAAAAATAATTAGTTTTTTAGATAAAAATAACAATTTATGTACGTAATAACATAGAATAAAGGCATACCACTTGAGTTGAAAACATCTTCCATTTTGTGAAGTCTGAATTAAAATACCTTCGGAGTGCAAACAAATGTAGACCTATATCTAATTGTTAAACATCTGTATATATGATACGCATGGGTTAATACTACTCGTACCTTGCCAACTTGTTTTTGTAATACCCCAATTACAAATGAGCGACTTTAAACGAGTGAAAAGTCCCTGTACAAATTTCGGGAAATCCTTTCTGTTCCTCTTATCGCAAGGAGCATACCCACGGTATGCATACTATGACAAACAGATCCTTTAAACGTAACGGCGCCCATTATCGGTGGGCATCGGTGTGGCTCGGTACAGGTCGAGTATTTTATGCCGGCCTGACAGCTGCGTCAGGCGACTTCGGGCTGCCGAGGCAGTCGTAAGCATGGCTAAAGACGCCGAGGCAGTTTTCGGGTACCTAGCTCGGGAGGCATTCTTTCTTCAGTAAGATGAACAATGAGAACTAGATTCTAATCCGCCATTATAAATACGCACGCACACCTGTTTTCACGTAACGTTACGACTGGTCTGCGATGTTTCTACCGCCCGATATATTCTGAGGCTATCCAAAATCAGCTACAGCGTCCTTAGGTGTGCTTACTACCGAAGCAGCTCTCAGGCGCCCAAAGCCGCCTGCAGCCGCCCGAAGCTGCCCGAAGACGCCCGAAGTCACCGTAAGGTGGGTAAGGAGCTGTACCGAGCAGCACCGATGCCCACCGATAGTGGCCGCCAGGCCTTAATCTAGTAGTTGTATGTTATCAGTCACTAGCTAAGTAGCTACCTATTTTAACCACTAGACAGCGCCACAATCGTTTTATATATCAAGTAGGAAGAAAAATGCCAACATGCAAAAAACACATTTATTTTATATCACACAATAATGATAAAATAATTGTCAACTTCACCCCTGGTGAACATAAAAACGACATCAAGTAACTTAGGATAAGAAGACAGGAAAAGAAAATTATTTTATACTAGCTTTTTATTTTAGCTTCGCTCGCGTCACAAAAGGATAAAAAGTAGCCTATGTGACATATACCAATACACATAGCGTCCTCTATACCAATTCTTTTGTTTTCCCTCGGGAATGTCAAATTTTTCCGGGATAAAAAGTACCTTATTATTTAATCCAGACTTCCAACTATTCGTCTGCAAAATTTCAAAGCAATCAGTTTAGTAGTTACGGTGTGAAAGCGGAACAAACAAACGAACTCACTTTCCAATTTATAATATTAGTAAGGATTATATCAACAAGGATACTTGGGTGTGTCTTCATGTCCTGAGTGAATAGGTTAAACACACTCGGACTCATTCATGACATGAACCAAAGTCGCTTTGTCATTGGTTGTGATGTTCGCGTTCATCTTGCTTTGTTTTCGTCTACGAATAGTAGATGCTTACTGATGTACGAGTCGGTGGACACGCACGAGAGCCCATAGACGTCAAAGCGACATTGGCGCAAGGTTGCGAGTGTGAGCAAGTGCGGCGCCACCTATAGCTCGGTGTACACAACCATATGCGCCTGCCACACACTCGACGAGTGATATGGGAAGTAACGAGGGAAGGAGGCATAGACATAGTGTGGCAACATATTTAGTCGTCAAGCCACACGTCATGGTCCTCATCCTGCCCACTGTTTCCTATTTTGTCTGTTTTTGCGCGCGAGTCAAAGGACCGGCAATACGAGGAAGCGACGAGGCAATAGGAGCGTGCGATTAATTGCGCGATTAGAGCAGTGTGTGGGTAGAGAGGGCAACATCGCGGCAAATCAGTACCGCGAGGAACATAGCGATAAGCAGCGCAAGAAGCAGTCTGACAGGCGCAATAGATTGTATCATCGCTTATCACTAGGCGAATTGATGACTAAAAACCATCCCATTAAAATTGAAAAAGAACATCGGAACGTAGGTAGTACCTCCTCCTTTTTTGAAGTCTGTGTAAAAAACTAAGCAAAAATGCTATCCTGGCTGCAATTATCAATAGCTTCCATTTCGCTTTTAGCCTCCTCAGCATGCTTAGTAACATGTTGTATCCACGTTTTCTTCTGTATAAACGTATCTCCACAACGCTCACAAGTATACGTACTCTGACCAGAATGAATTTTCATATGCGACCTCAAAGAAGTCCGCGTCACGTAGTACTTAGAACATATTTGGCACTGATATTCTTTCAATTTCGTGTGCTTTACTATGTGTCTTTTCATTTCGTTTTTGTTATAAAATCCCTTGCCGCATTCGGGGCATTTGTGGGGTCTTAGTAGGAGGTGGAAATGGTTTATATGTGATTTCAAAGAGCGTTGGCTGTCGAAGTTCTTTCCACAGGCTTTGCAGCAAAACTGTGGTATCGGAGCCCCGTGAACTTTGACTTCGTGATCATTTTTACGAACTGTATCCATAAATTTCTCATCGCAGTATCCACATTTTCGTGTTTTAGACCCCTTCATGTGCAATACTCTTTCGTGCTCCTTCATCTTTATCCTCGTATCGAAGATTTTGGGACAGAAAGCGCACACAAAGACGCCTTTCTGATGTCTCACTATATGCGTTCTTAAAGCTCGCTTGTTAATGAAATGTTTTCCGCAGTCAGTGCATTCGTAGTTGGAGTAATGTTCAGTCATATGTTCAGATAGATGCTTAAAAAAATCGAATTGCTTTGAGCATAGCGCGCATTGCAAAAACTCATCATTAAACTTGAACGGGATAATATGATTGGGTATATCCAAATGCATTGGCTGATTGTGATTGGTTTTCAAATGCATCATGACGTCTTTTAAGTTTTCCATTGGAAGATCACAAATCTCGCATTTAAGATCTGTGATGTCGATTCTAAGGACCATATCGGAGACATATTTGACTGTTTCAATAGGGTCTGAATTTGAGAAATGTGTGGTTAATGTGTGCTTTTTGAGTTCAGTAGGGTCTGGGCTTTGATATGGGCAGTGGAGACAAGAGTATCCGATCCCCCAGTGTCCCTTGATTGGAGTCGCATTGGTGCACTGTATAATAGTGCGTGCGTTTTCTTTGAATTTTTGTACTATGACCTTACTTTTCTGTTTCGTCTCTTCCTTCGCAGTGTCATTCCACTGGACATCTACAAACAAGAGTTTCTTCTTTAGTTTCTTGAACATATTCATGTAAGTTATTATAGTTATTAAAATTAGAAGAGGAAATTTCTATTTTGTATTCCCATTTTTTTCATTCTCGCTCCAAAATGTCAAAAGAGGTTCCGATTTCGTTCAAACTTCATTTAAGATTTGGCTATAAAGTATTGTTGGTAAAAAAACGACAATATATTTGAAAATATTTATTAAGTATCGACTTATAAGTATTGTACTTGTACAATATAACAAAACTATACCTAAATCAGATATATAAAAAGGGCGTATCGTAAAAAAAATGGTTTTAACTCGTCAAGTACCGTCATTATAGACACAATTATAGAACAATAGGTTGCGGTCACCGGTGATCGCTTGGTGTTTGACAGTTTAATGCTTATTTCTAAAGATTTTTTTTAAATTAGGGCATGTTGAAACGTAGTCTTAGGACTATTAAATTCATTGCAATTTTTCGGATCAAAATATACAGTGTATATGAACTATAAAAGAACCGATAGAAGCCGATTAATATTTCACGACGTAAAGAAATTTTTAGACATACAATGTATTTACTGTGCTCAGTAACACGGCAAGGTTCTAGCGGAATAACCAGTATAATCCTAGCTTGCACTGAGAGAACTCGTAACCGCGTTTAGCCCTCTGATTAGTTGGTTAACATGGAACAGGCCAATCAGAGTGCCGAACATCATAACGTAAAACAGACTTGCACAAGGGACCCAGGCGATCCTGTCGTTTCAATGAAGAATCGCTCTATCTTGTACAACGATACACTAAAGACTGGACATGACAATTTCAATGCAAAATCTTTTTTAACCGAAATATCGTATATCTTAATGAAGGCTTCCCTTTCTTAGCTCACCAAATGACGCTAATGTAATTTAAGGACTGTTTGTAGCTGTCAAAAGTTTAATGTCCAATAGTTTTAGACTAGCTATGTATTCAACTAACTGACCTCGAAAGAGCCTTATTACTCATTAGATTCAATGCAAAAACAATATCTTTATTATAGGTAATGGGACAACGTTTGGTCAGTCTCGCCTGGTGGTAACCGATGATGCATCCTACTATGGAGCACGCCTGCTTTTAAGTAACCTATTCACTCGAGACTTAAAGACTTCCAGGTCGCACGCTTGCGACTGGTCACCTGTGTTATAGGTCTTGGAGCCGGGCCTCCATAAGCGCATCATCGTCATCGCCTCTTGATAGATCGCCATCGAGGGTGGTTAACCGAGCCATCCCAAAAGATAGAAACAGTACTAACGGTACGGTCAGCATGACCGGACTTGCTCTTGGTAAACCACAAGTTATTGTTTCGGTGTGAAGTACCGCTTTATTCTTGAAAGGCTCGCTCGGCTCGAAATGTAGGAGTAGGAACGGGGTGGTTTTTAGTCAGTAAGAGTCTGACACTCACTTTCGCCTCACCCGGGCGGGAGAAGTCATTCGATGATTTTGCCCCCTAATAAGCCAGTAACTAGTGCCTTTGACTTAATATCGAGCCAAAGTTGCGACTGCAAGTGTTAGAGCAACGGCAAGAAGCTCAAGGTGATCTAGACAATAGTACTATGGATTGTCCTCATATGCCCTTTCCAAGCAGTCCTATGCACAAACGACCGCTCACACCGATCACATTTAAACCTCCGATCGTCTAAGTGCCCCCTAACATGTTGACTCAAACTACATTTCGTCCCGAACGATTTCGAACACATATCGCATTGAAAATCCCTTGTTTTCGTATGAGTAACCGTATGAGACCTCAACTCAATCTTGGAGAAAAATGCCATTTCACAATATGAACATTTATGTGGCCTTAACATCAAATGATAGCGTTTTCTGTGTGTTAATAAGGAACTTTGGCTATTATAAGATTTGTTGCAAGCTTGACAAGAGAACACCAATGGTTTTACACCATGTTTCTTTACTTCGTGAGCTTGTACCAAGTCTGTTGTACCGAAACGCTCGCTACAGAAGGAACATTTGCGAGTTTTACTTGATAAAGCATGTACTACTCTTTCGTGAACGCTCTTTTTTGGACGAGAATCAAACACTTTGGGACAATGAGAGCATTTAAAAACTCCTTTTCTATGTCTATAAATGTGTGTTTGCATACATTGTTTATTAATAAACGCTCTGTCGCAGAGAGAACATTCAAAATTTCGATAATGTTCACACATATGTTCAGAAAGTAGCTTGAAATGTTTAAAATCTTTCTTGCAAATCATGCATTGCATCATATCTGTATCTAAAACGAAAGGAATGAAATAATTTTTGATATCCGTATGAAACTTTTTACCATGTATTTTGGATAGATGTGCAGTAAAATCTTCTAATTTATCTAAGTTTAAATTACAAATACTACATTTTAAATTCGTTATATCAAGTCTAATGAATAGATCTGACACGTATTTCACTTTTATAACGTCTTCGACTAAGCTATGTGCCTCTAAATTATGTTTTTTTAAATCTGAAGGCAATCGTCTATGTTCTTTACAATAATTACAATAAAAACCGTGACCCGTGTACCCTTTTATTACAGTGGCATTCGAATTATGTAGTATAGTTTTAAGGTTATCTTTATGTTTATTCATTTCGTTAACTTCTTGCTTTACTGACTCCTTGGTCCCTTTCTTGAATTTATCGTTTACTATCGCTTTGTAACGTGTTCTAACTTGTTCTGCGTTGACTTGATCAAATTCTTTGACAGGTTCAAGTGCAATCTTTATTTTAGTTTCAAAATCTTTAACTTCATTATTTTTATCAATTGGATCCTTTGCAACCTTTGTATCGTTCATATCTTTCATTTTTACTTTATTACATTCTATTTGTTTTAATGTTTTCTCGTCCAGTGCGGAAGTTTTAAACATTGTAGGTTTTTTCCTTAGCCGTTTCGCGCGTCTTTCCAATTTTGATTGCGTTGTATTGTCAATCGGGACATCTACAACAAGAAATTCATATATTGATTTCGATATTATCATCATTTTTATATTATTTAAAATTAGTTTTATGATATCTTCTGTTAACATAGACAGTAAGTTTTTTGTTTAATATCGCCTCCTTTGTGCTTACACGTGCAACGCTTGTTCATTTAC